TAATACTGTCTCCGGCAGCTATTTTACTGTCGGAGACTGAAATTTAACTGTTAATTGACTGTTTTTTTTTTCTTCAAAAATATTTTTAATTAATATTACTGTATTCGTTGCTAAATTACTGTCTCCAGCAGTTATTTAACTGTCGGAGACACTTATTTAACTGTTAATTGACTTTTTTATTCTTAAAAAAAATATTTTTAATTAATATTACTGTATTCGTTGCTAAATTACTGTCTCCAGCAGTTATTTAACTGTCGGAGACAGTAATTTAACTGTTAATTGACTTTTTTATTCTTAAAAAAAATATTTTTAATTAATATTACTGTATTCGTTGCTAAATTACTGTCTCCAGCAGTTATTTAACTGTCGGAGACAGTAATTTAACTGTTAATTGACTTTTTTATTCTTAAAAAAAATATTTTTAATTAATATTACTGTATTCGTTGCTAAATTACTGTCTCCAACAGTTATTTAACTGTCGGAGACAGTAATTTAACTGTTAATTGACTTTTCTTTTTTTTTTTTTAATTTTTTTCCTTACTAAAAAATTTGTTTTAATTAATATTACTGTCTTGGATGTTAAATTACTGTCTTCAACAGTAATTTAATTGTCTTAGACAATAATATTAATAATATTACTGTTCGAAAAAATAATATTCATAATATTACTGTCCCAAACAGTAATATTACTGTCTGAGACAGTAATTTAGTAGTCAAGACAGTAATATTAATTAAAATATTTTTTTTCTAAGAAAAAACAATTCAAAAAAAAAAAAAAAAAAAAAAAAAAAAAAAAAAGTCAACGCCGGAAACCAGCGGTCAACGGTGGTTGACCGACCGGAAAAAAAATTCAGGAAAAAAAAAATTTCCAAAAAAAAAAAAAAAAAAAAAAAAAAAAAAAAGGGTCCCCGCCGGAAACCGGGGGTCTCCGGGGGTCAACGCCGGAATCTGGCCGGAAAAAAATATTTCAAAAAAAAAATTATTTTCTGAAAAAAAAAAAGTTTTGGGGGAAAATGGGATATATTTGTTTAAATCCGGGGTCAATGGGTAATATTAAGGAAGTTAGAGCATAAGGGGGGGAATTGTTAAAAATTATATTATTGAGGGTATTTTAAACTAAAGACATGGGGATGGGCTTAATTGAAAGACTGTTTTTTTTGGGGACTAAAATGCATTTAAGTCCCATGTGATGGGCCTTTTTGCCATTTGCCCTTTTTTTTTTGAGTTAACTGCAAAAATCCCCTAAACTTTAGACTTTTTTGTGCTTTACCCGTAACCGGAAAAAAAGTTGCACGGGCATACCTGAACTTCACGGGTCGGAGCACCGGCATCCAAAATGTCTATTTTTGGCCAAAATTGACCGGAATTCAAATCACGTGCCTTACACGTGGGGGTAAATTGGTCATTTCCATTTTACACCCATTTTCTTCCTTTTCTTTTTAATAAATATAAATAAATTTTAAGAAGAAAAAAAAAAATCTTCTTCCTTCACCATCATCCCCAACCATTCTTCCCGTCACCACCAGCCGCCAGAGGTTTCAATGGTGGAAGGTTTATCCCATGCTACCGTGTCATATTTCCACCAAATTGGGTTCTTCCACCGCTGGAATTCGCCGTCGCCGCCATCCGTTGATGATTGCGGCAAAGAAAGAGCCACCAGCCGGCGGTCAAATTTTGAGACCGGAGCACCAGCGAAAAACTCCAATTTTTTTGCCTTGTGATGGTGAATGGGGAATGGATTGAAATTGGTTCGGTGGTGGTGGTGCGGCGGCGGATCAGAGGTTGTGGTGGCCGGTGGGTGGTGTCTGATTTGTGTGTGGAGGTGGGTCGAAGACGATGGGTGTGCACTGGTGCAGCAATATTCTTTTTTTTCTTTTTTTCTTTTTTCTTTTCTTCTTTCTTTCATTTTTCTTTTTAGTTTTTTCATTTTATTTATATTTATTAAAAAAAAAATGAAGAAAATGGGTATAAACGGAAAAGACTAATTTACCCAACTATATTCACGTGTGAGGCACGTGATTTGAATTCCGGTAAATTTTGGCTGCCGGTGCTAAGAAAAGTGAAGTTCAGGTGTGCTCGTGCAACTTTTTTCCGTTCAGGGGATATAGCACAAAAACGTCCAAAGTTTAGGGGATTTTTTGCGGTTAACCCTTTTTTTTTTATAAGTCACGTGACATGATATCAACTTGAGTACAAATTAAGATTTAGATCATATGTGCCCACGGGCATTTGGCACACTAAATCATGAAAAAATTAATTTTATAGTGTTACTTGTCACATGGTTATTTTTCTTTCATTAAAAAATTTATCCCTAAATATATAATAAAATTAAAAAAAAGTTAAAAAAAATTAAAAAAATAATAAAAAAAAAAAACCAAAAGGTAATACCTTAAACAATGGAACCTTTCGTAGTATACACAGACAAACTAGTACAAAAGAGTAATAAATAACTCTAGGCAAACATAATTGAACAATATATTACATTATTCAATTTTCTGCATTTCCAATTTTATTGATTAAAAGCTATACTTAAAAAATGCAATGCTATATAATAGAGTGAAATTAAAAGTAGCAATCATTAACGTGGAAGCCACAGTTTCAACACTTCTGCCAATCAAAAATTACAAATCTCCGACATGAAACATTCAAGAAACAAATTCTAACTAACATTTTCCCTATTCCTCTGTCCCTTCATTGCAAGATCAAGTCCGAGTCAGAGGAACCCGTTGATCACTTCTCGTTCGAGCGAAGAATTTCGAATCCTTCAAAAAATCCCGTCCTTCTCAAGCTGCAGCAGCCGCTTTACAAACCGGTAGGTCACTTTCAACATACGGCGCAATCCTCAAGACCGGATTCCTCTCGAAGAAATTTACCGGCTTTAGGTCGAAACCGGCCGAGACCGTTGGCATGATTGGGTAATCCTCTTGGCACGGTACGTGATGGAATCCCAATGTGTACCACAACACGATATCCTTGTTCTCGATCGATCGATCCCTACACAAATTTAAAATATAATTAGCACCACTAAAAAATATGTATCAATACAAAAAAAAGTTGTCCGGGGTGTTTTTCGGTTTTTACCTATCGGACCAAACTTGAAGAGTGTCTTCACCGTGGCTTTGGTAGGCGAACAATCCTCCGGACCATTTCTCCGATTTGTTGTATTGTGTCACCCATATTTGGTTGTTGGTGAACGCGCTTCTCTTCTGAGGGGGGTCCGCGGGGTCGAGCAAGCTAGCGGCCGTTCCTGCGGGGACCACCTTGTACCCGACGGGGTTGCCCACTTTTGTGTGCTTGTTAGGGTTGACGACGTGGAATTCCGACGGGTCGCTCAACTTCAACTTGATTTGGGCCTCCTTCTCGGTCTTCGCCACGGTTTTGTTGACTTTCATGTAGCTCATTCTTGGGGATTTTCCTTTGGTGTACTCCCTTTGGAGGTGCACGTTTACGAAGGAGTTGTCGGAACCGTCGATATCCATGTCGAGGTAGAAATTGACGTAGTGATCGTGGACTACTCCGATTATGTTGTCGGATAAGAGGGTCCCGTACAACTCTTCGTCTGCGTTCACTTGGTTCATGTTGACGTAAGAAGTCCCCTTCACTATCACTATCCCGGTAAGCGATACCTAATGAGTGTATTGTTACATCAGAAATAATATTCGAAAAATAACAAATTTCTGTATAAAACGGAACAACGGCAGCTATTGTCACAAAATTGGAATATTGGAACTTGGAAAATACTAACCTTGATATGAATTAGTCCATCGGCATGGAACTCCCAATCCATAACATAGTCGTAATTCGCAAGCGACGCAACATATCTCGCAACGAGTGTAACCTTCGGCCTTGCCTCCCGAATCTACAACACAAACGAAAAAAATAAAAAGTTAATGTAACAAAATCATCGAAACATATTTATAAAAAAAAAAGTTAGTTTAGTTTTTTTTTTTTTATACCAATTTTCCGGTAATTGGGCTCTCAGTGTGTCGCCACGCGGCGTCACCCGAATAGCGCTCGAAAATGCAAACCATATTCTCCCTAACATACGGTGTACCGTCAGAAGCCGCGAAAACCGCGTCCATATATTCCGCATTTCTCGGACAATCATTGAGCGGGTCGAGGGCCAAAGCCTGAAGCCCGAACCCGTATTCACCGGCATCCATGTAAGTCTTGAAGTACCAAGCTTCTTCGGGATCCATATACGGTACAAATAGCTCCGACGCGAACCCTTGGTACATAATATCCCTCAACACTCCGGTATCCGGGTCCCGCATCTTGGCCTCAGAAATCATGACTCCTGATCTCGGGTCGGGCCTAAGGTGAAATTCCCAATTTGCCCATTTCACCAAATGATCGTTTTCGATCACGAAGTTCGGCCCGTTCGGCTGCTCCATGGATATCGGGCTCGCGAGCTTGATGGTTGCCGAGTTCTCGGCGTTTAGTCGGTAGTCCGAACCGGCGGCTTTAGGGATCGGAATGTGCTTGCCCTTGTCGACGATTTCGACGACTTCCATTGCGTCCAAATCGGTGACGATGATTATTCCTTCGATTGGCCTCATGTAGAAATTTGCAGTGTCCTTTGTTGTGAAGCATTCTAATTTCACCAATCTTCTTCCATCCTCGTTCTTGCCTAATATATAGTTACATAAATTGCAACAAGATACATAATTAAGTATTTGATGATTATTGTTCAAATAAAAATAAAAACAATTCTGTATACTATTAATTAGTCCTAAATTAGATAGTGTCAATTCACAATTAATTGAAGGGCCACAAGTCAAATTAGTGTACTTGGAATACCCAATTGTTAGAGCATATATTTTAGTATAATAAGATATATGAAAAATCGAACTGCTTGAACTTAATTAAAACTATTCAAACAAAACCAGAAACACAACTTTGAAAACTCGATAAAAAAAAAAATTAAACAAAAAATTGAAAAAGATAAAGTTATCTCTAGCCGAACAAGACAAAAACCACCCATTGGGATGGCCCAAAAGTCAAATTTTGAGTGGCCATAAAATATATTTTAATTAATTGGAAAAAAAAAAAAAGGCAAGAAAAAGAAATTAATTTAAAATTCCAAAAAATAATTGCAATAATTGAGATTATTACCGAACCAGCCGGGGGAGAAGGGCAAGCAGGCAACCTCGTTCAGATCAACGCCCCTCTCGACGATCGTACGGTTGAAATGGGCGTTCGTGAACGGCACGCTCATCACGTTCTGCATATCCTCGAGCGTGACAAGAGGGAAGCCGGAGATTCCGCTGGTGTCGTGCTCCACCACGTCGCCGCTCTCGACGTCCACCGTCAGCAGGTAGTTCGTCCCGGCGGAGCGTGCCATGACGGACGCCTTCCTGGTGGGGAGCGCGTCGCCCTTCGTCCACGCGCGGACCACGCTCTTGTCGGGGTCCTCTAGCACCAGCGAGTGGACGGAGTAGACGGAGCCATCGAACTTGGATTTGATGACCTTCTGCACCTTGTTCATCTCCGTGATGGTCAGTGGGTCCAGCGGGTGGTGGGGGACGTCCTCCGTGTGGTTGTTGCGGAGGAGCGGGGCGGCGGCGGGGGTGGTGGTGGGGGGGCGGAGGATGCGGTTCTTGGAGGAGCTGCACCAGGCGGAGTTGGTGGCGCACATTAGCATGTCGGACTTGTCGGAGATTTCGGTGGGGAAGTTGAAGACGGTGAAGAGCGTGACCAACACGACGCTGAAGATGAGGAAAAAACACAGTCGGATGTTTTTTCCCTCCATTGTGTGTGTGTGTGTGTGTGTTTGAGTGTGTGTGTTTGGTGTGTGTTTTAGTGTGTGTGTATATATAGAAGTAGTGGTCGTTGCAAATGAGTAGGTGAAGTGAAAGAGTTGTTTAGCTGTAAGGAAATCTGGAGTGCCCGCACATTGGAAAATCAATTTTACTTGTAATAATTTAATCATATATTTTTGGTTAAATTACAAAAAAGCCCCTGAAGATAGGCTAAATTACAAAACACACCATCATCTATCCGTAATTACCAAAATTCCCTTTACGTTTGTTTCTATCTTATACCGACACCCTTATGGTGGTACTTTTCATGGAATTTTTTTGATTACTTAGACTATTTTCCAAAAAATGCCGATTTAATTCATACATAAGTGACATTTCTTTATGCTACTTTTTAAGGACAAAAATTACTCTCACGAGGCCTTTACACAGAATATTTATTCTTCTTAAATATAACAATTTCACATATTTTTAGTATCACCTACGGGTGTGAACGAGCCCAGCTTACCTATTTTGGAAGGTTCGAGCTCAAGTCCAAGTTCATTTTGTTTTTTTAATACATTTTAATTATTATTTTATTATTATTAAAAATTAATTAAGAAAATTACAAATAGCAATAAATTATAATTATTTATATTTTTAATATGTATATTATATTTTTATTTATTTCTTTTATATTTTATATTATTATACATTATTTAAATAAAATATAATATATATATAAAAAATAAAAAATTAAATAAGGCTCGCAAGGAGACTCGTGAGCTCATGAACAACTAAAAAATGGCTTGAGCTCGGCTCGTCAGAAAACCCGAGCTTGAAAAACTCGAGTCTGAGTTCAATCTTTTTTCGAGCGGGCTCATCGAGCTCACGTGTCGGCTGGACTCGTTTACCACCCCTAAAAAAATAACACCACAGGGGGTCGGTGTAAGACGAAAACAAACATTAGGGTGATTTTGGTAATTACGACTAGATTGAGGCGTTTTTGTAATTCAACCTAAGTTCATGGGTTTTTCATAATTTACCCTATATTTTTCATTTTATTTTTTAATTTATTGTAATAATATATTATGTAGATATGAGCGGGGGTAGGTGAGTGGGTAGTAATCAAGCTCGTGCATACAGATGGGGATGAACATTGGTGTTTAATTTGGACATTAGTGAATGCTGTGGGGTAGTGGGTGTTACTAATTTTAGAATTTAAAAAAACAAAAAAATAAAAATTTATTATATTATACAGTTTTTTTATATTTAATCTATATATAATTAGTAAATTTAAGTGTTTATATATAAGTAAAATATGCATGGATCTCATGCACATATATAATATGATGTAAATTAGGAGAAACCATTATTGAGATATTTCAGTCGTAATTGTTAGAGCATCTCCGAGAGTGCAATGCGCGTAAAGTTATATTTTGCATTTTATGAAAAAAATGAGCTCCAAGCAGAAATATTCCAAAAAATTAAATACGAAAAATTTAAATACTTTTAAAAATTGATGAATATTGCTTTGAATTACGTAAATGAATTGAACTATGAGTCTATGATTCTAGTGTGTCCACCAATGCTATAAGGTGTAGTAAATTAGTTAAAAATCTTATTATTTATTCATGTAATATATATTAAATGCAATTAATTGTATTTTTTTGACAAATGGGGATGAAAAATGTAGTAAGAGGGCCCGGCCCTCCACCCTCCAACAAATTTGGCTAACAATTACAAATTCCTTGTGTGATTAATGCTTATTTAGTAATAAATTGGATTAAGTAAGATTTGATTAATATTCTATCGATTAACTAATTATTTAGTTAGTAATATGTTTGATTCTTTAGATTAAATTTGTTATATTGTGACATTAAATATGAAATTAAAAGTTCTTTTTAATTAACAAAATTAATATATTGTCTCAAGGATAAAATTATTCTTTTTTCCTATACAATTAATCGCGGACGAAGAGGTGCCACTAATTTAACCAAATACAGTAGTATTTAATTACGTGTTTTAACTATAAGAACAGCCTTAACTAAACAGGAATCTTATCAACCAAACATCTTAGACCCTTATTATTTAGTAAATAGAACTTAGTTGAATTAAGCAAACGAGGCTCGCTCGGCTACCTATATCGAATTATTTTGGAATAGATGAGATTGGATTAACCCCATACTGACTAATTAATTATTTAGCTATTAGCATGTTCGGTTTCTTTGATTAGATCTTCTATTAATTTTGTTAAATTCGGTTACTATATATGAATTGTCTACAAAACCACTTAATTTACAATAATAAGATGTGATTTTAAGAATAATTATTTATTTTTTTCTTTTAGTGCCCTTTATTAAATTAATCTTATGGCGAGGGGTGCTATGCTATTTATTTAATGAAATAATAGCAGATTTGAAAAAATTTAAATCTTAATAACTGGGAATATTATAAATTATTTTGCCCAGTTCAATTGATTTTTATTTAAAATTCAACAAATTTTCTTATTTTTGAAGAAAGGATTATTATATTCGTTATTACTAGTATCATTTTCAAAAGAATAGTTTATTATTGTTACTATTATTATTATATTACTTATTAGAGGAGAAAGAATATATACGTATCTCAACTACCAGCTTAATGTTGAGAAAGCACGTGCATTTGCCGATTCTTGGTGTTGAAAAGTATATATAAATCTGGCCGAGGGCGGTTTGGGGATTTTGTAAGAAAATTCCAATTCAACATTTTTTTTTGACAAAATTATATTGTGTGGTAGTAGTCAAATCTTTTATTTATACACGTGAATTAGGTGTTGTACTTTGTACCCATTCTATATTTAAGTTATTTAAAATTATTTGAGGGAATTTTCGGTTTTTATTGGCTTTTTTTCTTTTTCCAGAAACTAAGAAATTAAATTGTTATTTTCTTCTAGCTCTAACATATTTTTTAACTATAAAGTGTGAAAAAATAACATTACACCGAATTACTAAAAAAATTATATTTCCTTATTAAAAAGAATTTGTAACTAAGTTATTCGATTGAGTGATGTTTTGTTGTATTTGCCGAAAATATTTGGTAGTAATCTTTAGAAAATGTGTTTTTTCAATTAACTTGATAACAAAATAGTTGGAGGATTTTTATTTTTCTGTAACGTATTTTTTTGTGATAAAAATTATAATTTTTAAATATATTAATGAGATGCATTTTTAGTTTGCACTTTGCAATTTTGAAGGATTGATGAATATACAAATTTTGATTTAACATATTCTTAAAAAATACCGCTAGAAATATATAATTACAAACATTACATTTAAAAATTCATTCGGGGGTGTATTATGCATGATATATTGTATTTTCAGGGTGCAAAGAGCTATTAATTATTTTCGAAGATGGAAAATATCAAAAGATTATTTTTCAAGGTGATGAAGCTCGATACATAAGGATATGTACTCATTAAGTGGTGTTTGCAAATGTTTTTTCAAAGTAATTATGAGTTTTTTTAATGTTTAAGAAAAATTGACCTTGAACCAAAAAAGGCTCATCATCACTTTGGAAAACCTTTTGCATACACCGAAAAATTTTGTAGTACCAAACAATATTCCCAATATAAATATTTTATCGTAAAATATAATAAAATTCAGAGGTATCAACTAATTATTTCCAATATTATATTTTTCCACATATCAAATTTCTTTGATAACAATTTTAAATTATATATCTTTTATCAAAAGATAAAATCAGTATCTAACATTTATATTACTAATATTACTTTTACGTGTTTAAAATTCATATTTAAATAATAAATAAACCAATTGTTTCATTTCAGTACTTAATTGAACAGAAACCAACAAGTTTGAAGTATATATTTTTCAGACATTAATTCAGGAGGGAACAAGCTAACATCAAGAACACATTTTTCATTTAAACATATATATATATATATATATATATATATATATATATATATATATATATAATGATGTAAGGGAAAATTGAACAGAAAAAATGTGCTCCATTCATTCAGAGATGATATGAATGGGGGCAAGTTCATTTCACCGGAACAACTCCAACCAACCAATCAGAGGCAAATGAAATAAGCCATGAAATAATGCTGAGGTACATATGAATTGAGTTTGTTCGATGCCATTTTCTACGACAAATTTGGTACGGCCAATAAATGATGCAATTAGTTTTGATAAAATGTCATGTTCAATTAGTTACGGCCCAATTACGTAATTGGGCCCTCCTCGCCTCGAATTAGTCTAATTGATTCATTGTATTTCTTTCCCTTCCCGAATCAATAAAGGGTTAATTTCATTTGGTGATGTCGGAAAATTCGAAGATACTTGCCGCCGGACATCTTATAACCCATTTTGCAATTTCTAAAAAAATAGAAATATTTTTAAATTTTAAATATTTTTGTTGCTTCTCGAACTTTACATGATTCAATGTTCAATTGCAAATTGATGTTGATAGTAAAATTTATTTTGAATATGTTTGTATTAAAATATAGGGTAAATTACAACCACCCCTGAGCTTTGGTCAAATTACGAAAATTCCCCTCATGTTTGGGTAGTTACAACCACCCCTGAGCTTTGGTCAAATTACGAAAATCCCCCTCATGTTTGGGTAATTACAACCACCCCCCTCAATCACAAAATTTAGTGGAATCTTCTAGATTATTTGAAATATTATCACTTTTGTATCCGTTTCATCCCATTCGAACTCCACATTTTGAAGCAAGATGATCATAATATGTGTTTTTTGGCTTGTATATATCAGATTGTGATGCATCAGAAACTTTATTTTTGCACAAAATGAGTACAAACTAGAGTACATTTCACGAAATCTAGATGATTGTGCTGAATTTGACACCATAAGGATAGAGGTGTAAGAAAAATTCATAGTTGAGGGGTAGCTGTGATTATCCAAATAAGAAGGATTTTTTTCGTAAATTAACCATACCTCAGGGAGGTGGTTGTAATTTAACTTAAAAATATATATATATATATATATATATATATATATATATATATATATATATATATATATATATATA